CCCCAAAAAAGCCCAAAATAATGAATGAATTCAAACTCAGTGAACCGAATTTGAAAAATTTGAAAAATTTCCAAAAGTCCTTCCTCTCTATATTAACCTGATCTTCTTAGGATGTAAACAATTGACAAATTGACTCTTTTGGACAGAATGCTTTTTCCTATAGAAACACCCAACATTCCGAAGAAATTATGTCCTTAAACATTTTTCCGTATTCGCAACGGTTTCATCAATATGAATTCATAAACAGATGATTTCCCTGATGAATCAAACCCAGAGTTAACTCTGGGTTCGTGGCCATAACCCAGAGTCAACTCTGGGTTCGATTCATTAGGGTTTTTGAGGTTTCTTCGATATTACCTACTAAAAATGTTGATTAAATTTTCTTTCACATTTCACGCAATTGCTTATGTTTTTTATATGATACATATGATTCATTAAGGAATCTACTCCGTGTATTCCAAATTATTCTTTGAGATAATTTGTTTCAATACAAAAAATCGATTTTCAATGGGAAAACCCATTTTTTTTAAATTATTCAACACATTTAAAAAAAGATTGGTCTTCATTATTTTTCCCCCCACTGAACCGTTTGATTGATAAAAAATTATAAACAATGACCAACGAATTCATTTATCATTATTTACTCAACAATTAGTCGAGATGGAGGCAAATATCATAACGACTTAACTTTGGTAAAATGTCTGGCATATTCAGGAACAAAATTCTCCCTATGACAATTGATTTTTTTTTCCTTTTGTTTAGACAATACATGAAAAATCAATCCGGTGTACATGAAATAGGCCATTAAATATCCACGTATGATATGCAAAACCAATGTAACCACGGGAATTAAGAAAAAGAAATCAGTCAGCATTTTAAGGAGACAATACCGGAAAAACCCCAACAAATCATTTATTTATGAATTTTTATTGAATGGGCTCCCTTTTCATATTCATAGTCCACGATACATACAGGATTTACACGTCTAATAGACATTACCTATAAGAGGATGTACTTGTATGTTGTATTCTAATTCTAATCCGAAATGTGATTCGAAATTCGCGCCAATTTCCCAAGCAATGCCAACTGACAGTAACTTTCCGAAGCTCGTTCTCATTCGAGTTCGACTTCCAGAGAAATCGATTCGACTTTTCTCAATTCGAGTTCTCATTCGGCAGCCATTATGCTTTCCTTTTTATTAAAGGAAACCAATATTATGGGAAAGGTAAAAATTATCAACGTTGGGGCAATGTTGGCAACCAGGGTGGATGCAATGTTGGCGGCCAACGTTGAGGAAATATTCAATTCAATGAGTCATTGAATTCAATTTAAAATATATCATAGAAATGTAATGGAAATTCCATTCGGAGACAAATTGCTAATTTTTTAGCAGAAATATATTGACTTTTAGAAATACTAATACCATTGGTAATCAGCCTTCGAATGGATCCGTGGCGATTCAATTTGGAAAATGATAAATGACAATTTCTGTTGAACTTTATGATTGTATTCCATAAATATTACCATAAAGATATTTTGGTGTTGACAAAATTTTGCTCAATGAACTACTTTTCGAAATGTTGAGAACCAACTACAAGAATGTAAAAATTATGTAATTAATTATCGTGATGTTCTTCAATGACTTGACTAACGAACAGTGTAATGTAGCACCAGGGCACAAATTCCGTTTTCAACGAATGTGGTATTTACAGGTCGAGCCGAAAGTGAGGACGCGAGGACGTTAGAGGGTTGAAACATAAATGGAAAAATAGGGGGAAATCAATAGAAAATCGGGGAAACCTTCTAAAAATAAATACATCAGGGAAAAGCAGAATAAGTGAGCTGAAATATTGAATCATTTTTAGGCAACGATCACGTGATCGTTAGGTGGCAACGCCTGGAATTATCTCCAAGAGCATCATCACCAGGAGGCGCCGGTACCGAGCTGTATCATGCCCGCTCCTTTGACAAACACATAAAGTCCATATACATATATTAACCAAAACAATTGAATTGCGAGGTTTTAAGAGTGCATCGATGTACCTTCAGTCATTTAGGATTCTTCAGTTCGGACAGTTCCGCGCTAGTTCCTTCACCGTTTTCTTCGTGTCTCTAGTTCCGCGGTTTTGTACAATTATTGAATTATTACAGACAAAACAAATTATCATTTTTGAATATGTGAATTTTGGAAATGTGAAAAGTTTTAATAATTAACGTCCGGAAATTAATTTCAATTATGAAATTCAATAGAGACTAACGAATTAGAGAAATTTTGGAAACTTGAGAAACCTGATAAAATTTAAATTAGTGTTTCAAAATTACTGGAGAATAATATACGGAACCACGGAATTGGATTACGTCAGGGAGAATCGCGGACAAAATGGATAAATTGAATCACGTTTGACCCTCTGATTCGCAATCTTATCCTCACTACCTATAAGGGCCGGATAAAAAGTAACGTAACAGTGCCAGTTCTAAAGCGCCACAATTTCTCCGTGCAGTTAGAATTCATTTATAGGCAAACTGACGAGTCCGTTCCCTTCGTTTTCAGAGGTGGGAGATATGGATGTGCGTGAGGATTAGCCAACGTGGGGGCAGCTACGAAGGGAACGGACTCGTCCAACAGTAGTCTGTTCGAGGCCCTGTCGATACTGAAGTCGCGTCTCCCACCATGCTATTTAAGCTACACCTCGCTGAGATGGCATAGAGTGGGGGGAAACGCCAATTCACCTCAGAGGATTAAATCTTCTTTGAGAATCAGGAATTTATATTTTTTTATGTCCATCGAACAGTTTTGTAACGATTATCGAAAATACTATTAGCGAATTTCATGCTAAAACAAACTGTCAATTGATTTTCGAACCATTTTTATTGATTTTGTAGGTATTTAAATTGGCCCGTTAGAAATATATTTTCAATTTTGTTCTACGTTTGATTTGTTTTTTAATTCCGCAAACTAGGCTAAAAATTGAAAAAATTAATACTGATCATTTTTCAGTATTCATTTAATGAAAGCTATTTAAATATTTACTGCGAAATCACGACGTAACATGTATTCAGGGAACGTCAAATTAATTCATAGGTAGGAAAATGGATGATTGCATTTCTTGTATATGACTATCGTTATTGTTGCTAACAAATTGGCAATATACTTCCGAACGGATTCTCCGTTTTTCTGTATTTTCGAAATTTTTATTTTGCTACTTCTTTCATCTTTTTTCAAATTATATAACCATCATTAATTAAAATGTCATCACAGTTTTCTCCTACTATGCCATTTATCTTTTTGCATTATCCTGTATTCACATCCCCACAAATGCTAATTCGATTTCAGTCAGAGTTTAACCAAAGTTCATTTACCATTTCAACGAAATATATCGTCAGTTTTCAGTGGAAGTTCAACCCATGATCAATCAGAATGTAGTCAGTTTTCAGCCGGCATTTTAGTAAGGATTTAACTGTGATCTAGGCGTCATTTAGTCGGGGTTTGACTGGAGTTTAACGAAGGTTTAACTGTGATTTAATCGAGGTTTAGTCGAAACCATGAATAAATGTGGACCATTATTTATAATGACAAATAAAAAAACTGTATCAATTAAAATAAAATTCCAACCTCTTGATATATGTCACGCATTGTAGTCTCTTCAGAATGAAATACAGAAATATATCACGAGGTGCAAGGAGTAAACATCACCAAGGGGAAGACTGAAAGCAAGCAGACTGAGGTTCTAATACCCCAGACCCCAAGAGTGATGGTAAGCGCGTTCGTGTCACTGAAGGTGTCAAGCTGTTGCACCACGACGACTGGAAACGTAAACAAAGCCCGCTATTTGGCTTCTCCCGACGTGTTCTCTCCGAGAGGGTGAAATCTCACTTTATTTATTCGTCGGGATTCACCTTTTACCTCGAATGTGTTGTACTTGATACTTACAAATATTTTTCTTCTACCGTTTTCTCTGTTTTCTGTAATTGTATGGCTCATTCAAGAATGCAGTTGCTACAAAATTTTAGAAATATTCCGGGTGTTTCTTTTCATACACAGGAAAAATCGATCAGTTCCAAGATCCATGATGCTTTTTAAACCGTAGAAATCGACATACCTAGAGGAATAGCTCATTTGTATGAATTTATGTATTATGGTCGTGACGTCAAGAGTGCGATTTATCGATGCGTTTGGTGTGAAATAAGTCGCGTACACTGCGAAAAATAGTATATTATGTCATCAGGCGATAAAAGTATTATCTGGCGAATCTGGCTTTATAATCCGAGCCGAAGGCGGATTATAATCACATTTGCTAGATAATGCTTTTATCGCCGTGTGACATACGATATTTTATGTCGTTTCAATCCAGCGGGTTGGTCAGGTTTTCATTAGAAATTACCTGATCAGTCGAAACTTACAAAAACTGAATCAGGTTCTAATCATATTTCAGGTGGATCTGAAGCGATTTCTACTCGGGTAAGTTTGATACTTCTTCACGCTCTAGAGGTATATTACCAGTATTTGACCTTGTCGCACATCAAAAACTCTTATCTGCGAGATATACCCAACTCCGTCCTCAATTTTCATCCACAAAATTGAAGCATGATTAATTTTTTATCCAACATTTTTCCTTACTTCATTTCCCAGTTCCTTCATTGTTAGAGAAACCACCATAAAAAGTTTCCACTTTGGTAAGTATAAAAAAATTTTCGTTGAATCAAAGACAGGAGTAAACTTTAAATTACGGCCCACAGGCTAGTGTTTGCGGGGTTTGTGGCTTTATGTTTTACGGGGAAGAAAGTGTCGGTTGCCAATGTATTTCCTTTCGTTGCCGAGAAAATTTGCATTGAAATTGCATTTTTTTCACACCGTGTTCGTTATTACGCTGTGTTTGCGGCCAGACCGTATACACGATGTGACGTATCCGAGAGTCAAGGAAGTGAGTGGGAAAAAGAAGAATGAGAGAAGAGGTAAAATAAGTGATGGTGGTGGAATAAAAGAATAGTTTTGTACTCACTGGCCCGTACTTGTACGTCGCGACTGAGTACTCGACCCACCGAGTTACTTGCGACACATCTGTAAGCAGCACTGTGAACGTCCTGTCGGAATGCTGCTGCTTGGAACGGAAGTAGTACGAGGGTGCCATTCCTGAGGACCCTTCTGACGCCTGGTACATCAGTAGCTGGTAAACCATCGGCTGTGGACCAGTCTATATTTGGGGTTGGATTGCCAATTGCTGCACAGTCCAACCAGGCACCACTTGAATTTGAAAATTCCACTCTCGATGGGGGTTCAATGAGGAAACTTGGTCCACGCAGATGTGCATCGAAACCGTGACCACCGGCCGAGGAAACTACCGCAGCTACGCCTGCATTAAACAACGATAAAAATAAATTAATTCAATAACCAATTTTCAACATTTGTGGAGGTCCGCATAAAAAGGGACCACTTTGGCACTGTTGGAGTTATGTATATTTCCATAATCTTGATCTGATTCCGACCATTTAGAACCCAGAATGAACTTGATAGCGTAAAGAGTGAAGACGCTAAAGAAGATCGAAAAAATAATTTAACATGGGTTTAAATGGAAGTGGGCAAGAGAAAAACGTGAATATCTCGGAAACTAGAATCGACAAAGTGGTCCCTGTTCATGCGGACGTCCACATTTAATTAAATTGTCAGATTGATAATGGGCGTGCCTCAATTACACGGGATATGATAAAATTATATTTCGATTTGGTTGAATAAATGAATTTTAATTTGATAACAGTGGAGGCTGTATGGAGTGAATTGTTCAGCATTTAAACCCCTTCACATATTTATTATCAGGAAAATGTTCAATGATGTGAAATTTAACATTATTCTTTTTGAAGAGTAGTCAAATTTCTACATAAGATAACTTTTCATACTTGAGGATTAGCCCTATTACTTTCCGCATCCTTATCGTCTCCTGCACCTTTAACTCTGTGTACTCATACGATACTCATCGACCCAGTCATTTTGTAATACAAAATCAGTGATCATAATGTCCTACATATATCAGAATTAGAATTTATATACACAATTACGAATGATGAGTAATCATTTGTTTTACATTGTAAATTCATGTTCATGTTCGCCTTCATAGTGATGGATTAACCGAATACCGCATGATCTTAAACTTGGACAGTATGATGTTTGAAGTTTCAATTATTAAAAGTTTCCCACATTATCAGAAAAAATAACAGTATCCATCAATATGCTTTATTGGAGAATGTTAATTTAATTTTTTTGACGAATATGAGAGCGCATGCTGCCCCTTCACCATTTCAATTGGAGTTTCTATTATATTCGCAAGTTTCTTCCAAGTAAACGGGAATAATGAATAGAAATTTAAATAATATAACAAAATTTCAACTGCAAAAAAACCGTAGTACATTTTTTATGTGCAAAGTTTACTCGTAGCATCGCTAGTAAACTGAATAAATGGAACAGTCAAGTATCCGCACGTTAGAATTTCCCTACGATCTCCAGGATTCTGAAACTTCTCCAAGAATTTCTTTGTCTTTTGTGATGCATATTTTCACCATCCTCAAGATATGCAAGGAGAGTGAGGACGACGCAATAGGTATGCTTGTAAAAATGAAATTCAAAAGGCATTCTATACTCATAGAACGTTTCCTAGAGAAATCTCGTATTTCAACGTTGTGCTTATATTCTCGGGAGGGTATTCGAATTCAGCCACTCGCGTTTTCTTGCGGAAGAATTTCTGCAATCCGTAAAGAATCTTTCACTCCAGAGAGACGACTGGGAAAATAAGGAGACAGAAACGAATGTGAACGTTGCTTGTGCTTTTTATTTCAGTTTTCTTGTTTCTTCAGAAGTCTTGAATTTTAACCGAAAATCGCTGGTAACAATTTGCAATCGCCGAGTATAAAATGTCATTATATATTCATAAAATTGCCGCTGATATCTGTGTGAGGAATTTTACGAACTGCAGTCACGTTGGATGGGCGTCTAGACACTCGTTTACACTTCTTTCACAGTAGGTGGCGTCTGTTCGCAAAGTCACAGGCAATACCTGATAGATTATAATCGGATTCGCTGGACGATTCATCTTCGTTCAAGATGTACGTGCGAGAGCGACTCGTTGGGATGGAAAATCGAGGCCTCGTGAGTCAGGTTTGGGAAGAGTTACATTTGAATCAAATAAAAATTTATTCGGATTCACAATGAATTTCCCTCAATATTTCATGGAATATGTAATCCTTCAATTTATCGCATATTTTGTAAATATGTGGAAGTTTTTCCTGTAATTGTTTTCAATGATTAATAGTTTCAATATATTGCTGCATTTTGGAAAAATCTCCTCCGGTTCTGGTTTACGGGGTAGGTCTGGATACTTGTCAGTTCATTCTGTACAAGGTTCGTAGATTTGTGTTATTTGGATGGACACAGCATAATTGTTTCAATTTCTTTATCCTGTTGGGAAATTATTGTTTATACTACATGCAAAAAATAATTTACAGAAAATTTCCATGTACGTCATTATTTGCGAATCCGTTAATTTCTGAAATATGCAAAACATAGTGTTTTCTATTTAGAGTCAACAGTTTAGATTCACGAAAGATCATTATTCGTTAGCCATTTTTACAAATCTATTTAGAATTTCGATGACGGCATTTTCTGTATTAGCGTCCCGGGTAGAAATGCATCCAAGGATTCAGCCGCAATTCGGGTGAGCGCGAGCTCAGCCTCGGCTTGCCGCTTGACCCGAGTTCACGCCGCGACACGCCGCTCCATACCGGCTCACAGTCGAACGCTCATCAGACGGCATAACCCGGCACTTGAGTTTGAGCTGTGGCTCAACGCTTAGAACTCAGCTCCGATTGAGTCGTGTCGTTTCGAGTGGAGGGTGGAATAGAATGATATTTATGCATTTTTAGAATATCGATTTAAAATTTGAATACTTTGGAAAATTCTTGTCTTCTTACTATAAAAAAAAAAATGGAATTCCACTGAACTTTCTATAAAATTTGAAATTTACTGATTTTTCCCTCTGTTATCGAATATAAAACCTGGCACTTTCTCTAAGAATTCCTATTGGAGCTCTATGAGAATTCTATTTAAGTTTTATTGCAATTCTCTTGAAAAATTCTTTTTTTTTTGCGTCAATTCCATTGAAAATTATGCAACTTTCCCCTGCATTTTTAATAGATATTTGTTTGTAGAAAAAAATCGATTGATTTTTCTAGATAATTTATTCTGTTTGGATTTCTTCCACAGAAACTATTGGGCATGAATTTTCCAAGTTTCGCTCCTGCATTTGATTAAAAGAAAAGAAGAAAAACTGAGCGGAAAAAACTTAGAAATCTTACGCCTAAGAAAACCTATAGGAACATAAAAACCTATTTACTTTCTTGCACCAAATTTCACCTTAACAAAAAGACTCTATGAAGTTGCATAATCTCCTATAGAATCGGCGCAAGAAACGAATAGAATTCTAATAGAACTTCCAGAGAATTCTCATAGAATTCCAATAGAAATTTAATAGAAAGCGCTAGGTTTTTCTGTTGAATTTTTTCATGCGTGTTATTTTGGCATACCTGTATTCAACATTTCCCTAATAAATCGTAGAATATTCTTAGAACTCGTAGGCCTATCGAAAAATGAAGAATATCCTCTCCTGTAGCGTTGATAATTAATAATAAAGGTTCGTTAACGTTTTTCAAGTGATTATTTTTCTTGATTTTGTTTGTTGTATTCGCGAGAAAAAAGAAAGTTTTGACTACGTTTCAGTGAA